AGTTTTGCAGTTGGTAAAAAAGTTATAAGTTCATATTCAAAATATGTTTAAAATATTTGAAATTTACTATTGAATAAGGTTTTTGTTGAAAACTAAGTAGTTTATATTTAGCTACAATCTATTATAGCACGAAAAATTGTAGTTGAAAGGGTAAGTTTATGAAAAGGCATTGAAGAGTGGCAACAGTGTAGTAAGCAACACTGAGGGCTCTAGTGATCGACAAAATTCTGCGTATACAGACTGCGTTTAAGTATACGTTCTGCGTTCTCGACTAATTTCAGCTTTAAGCATATCCACAAACGTAATTTCAAATGTCAGCGCATGAACGCAGAAAAGTATCGAGTTGTTTTACTTTCGACGTAATTGCGTTAACCACTGTTGCCAACTTGGTGCTTTTCGCACTAAATTTAGTGCTTTTCTTTATTCAAAACGCGAAAATTTTAGAGCTTAGTGCTTGGTGCACTGTAAATCTTAACAAAAAGGGGGCAAAATTTATAGCAGTCGTAAGTTTTTTAAGCCACTTTATAAAAATATATACAGAATCTTGTCACAATGACAATCATAAGCGAGAGAGCATATCGCACACCTAGTCGAATGTGAGCTAACTCAAAATTTCTAGAGGGTAATTTAACTGCTTGTGGATCGTACGAATTGAACGCAATTAATACAAAACAGGTAAAATAGAAGTTTTTTAGTTAACGTATATAATAATGAAGAAAAAACATATTTCTATTAAACTTGCCCAAAACTTTTTTTGAGTAGATCGCACTTTAGATCTAGGTGTGCGATATGTTTACCAAACAAATATGTAGCAGCACTTTCAATCATGACAGGGGCTTTGTTTCTTTAATTATCAGGAAGAAGAAGAATGAGAAAATTGATAGAATTACGCTCGCAGAGAGCGAAATAACGAAAAAGTAAAGAAACGAAAAACTATCAGAAACTAGCAAGTAATCAGCTGATCGGTGTATTTGACTAATGAAAATATTTGGCGCGAATTTTTGTTTATCCATTTTGGCAGCTGCTAGTTTCTGCTAGTAAAAATTTTACTAGCAGAAATTAGCAGGAGAGCCAAAAAAAGAAGAGCGTAAGAACGAGAGAGAGCTGCTAGTTTCTGCTAGCTTTTTGGGTTAAGAAACGCTTTCCAGCAGAAATTAGTGGTAATTTGTGATAACTATCTGTTAAAAAACAAAGCTAAAATTACATTGAGCAGAACTTTCAATCATGTCAAAATTACATTGAGTAATTCGCCATTGCTAGGAACAGGAATCGCCCTTTAGAATTTTAGTTTGGGCTGAATTTGTTATGTTTTTTTACGACTATTCAAAAAAGCAGCAGCATCTAACAATAAAATTAATATCTAGCGAACCTTTTAAAAAAAAAGAGAATAATCCAAAAAGGGTGGAATTTGAAGAGTAGACAGCTCTTTTGCCACAAAAATATTTTTCCCACTATGCGCCAGTGAATACGCGGAAATAAGACAAATTAAAAAGGGGGAAAAAATTTCGTTATATTTAAGGTGTTAAGCGGTCGTAAGAAAAGTTCTTTATGTTCCCTTAGTTCACAATACCATAAGAGACTGCAGTGTAGATTTAAAATACCACATACTCCATGAAACTTAATTTCTTTGAATTGTAGAAAATTTAAGCAAAACGAAGAGAATTGTAAATTGTATATTTTGTTTACATCTAAGCGAAACGGCAACGCTGGACACAGCTGCAAGTTCGAAAATAAGAACAAGAGTCTTAACGTCGCTTGAACGAAAATATTTGAATTTATAGAAAACAGAATAACTTCGACCGTCGATCAAAAACATTGATTTTTATTAATTTGAACCGGCGTCCCTACAATACAATTTTTCTTGCATACAGAGCCCATTAAATACCCCTGCAAGAACTGTGACCATCATTTGAGTGGCAAGACTGATCGAGATTTCTGTCACTGGCTACCTACAAGTTTCTATCAAATTCTAAAGGGCAGTGTGAAAAATCTGATGTAAACATTTGTGTACATGTGATCTTCCGTCTTCCTCCAACTTATGGCCTCATTTAATGGTCTCTTTTTAACCAACGCAAAATTTGCAAACAACTACAACAACAAGAGACAACTAAATAATGCCATAAGTCGGAGGAAGACGGAACACAAATGTTTACATCAGATTTTTCACACTGCTCTTTAGAATTTGATAGAAACTTGTAGGTAGCCAGTGACAGAAATCTTTATCAGTCTTGCCACTCAAACGATTTGTCAAATGATAGTCACTGGTCTTGCAGGGTTAGTTTCCATCACACAATTCTTGTAGGGACTCCAATACAAATTTGGTGCTTTTTTGAAAAAAACGCGGCATTTCTTGGGTTTTAGTGCTTTTTCAAACTCAAAACTTGGCAACACTGTAACACTGTAATAAACCTTTTCGCAGTTTTTCACCAATTGGTCCCCGAGGAGTACTTTTGGGTTGTGCGCAGCATTTTCGTTTTGCGCGCACGGAATTTCGCCTCATGATTTGAAAAAGGTATTTTCGTGGATAAAATATTTATAATTGTGTTATTTATGAACAAACTGTAGGTTAAGTATAGTATCAGTGCTTAATTAAGAATAAAGTTGTGTTTGTCTACAATTTATCCAGTAACTTGCCAGCAACTCTCCAGTAACTTTATTTCTGAATCAGCAAAATTCATGCTCCTTCTCATAATCAACCCTGATCAGATTTTACACCCGAGGAGTACTCAAAAAGGTTTATTACTGTATATACTGTGTTTGTAACGGCGTCGTCTGCACAGTATAGACAGTAGCCAACCTTTTTGGGTTGGTGCTGTAGTAATCGTTGTTGTTGTAGCTATATTCACCCTTGAGGAAGGCACTGGGTTGTGTGCTGCTATTTAATGGCCTTCTAAGAATTTTCTTAGATTTCAGGATTGTGTGCTGCATTGTTATTAGATAAATAAATTTAAGCATTTGATATATCTTGATCTTATTAAAAGAAAATTATAAATGGTACAGTAATTAAACAAATGAATAAGATGAATCCAAAATATGAATGCTCAAATCTAAAAACTTATGTACAGCAATATAAAATAAACATAATAAATATTTAAATACTTAAGAATACTTCGGTCTTGTTTTTATCACCGAATCAAATAAGGGGTTTGTTAGTAAATGTTTACATTTTGTACTAAGTAATAATAAATTGGTAAAATGATATTATAATGCTCTAATAATTAAAGAGATTAGTAAAACAAGCTTTAAAATTTTAAGGAAGTGAGGAAGTTATTATTTTTTCATTTAAAAAATTGTATCACTACCAATGAGTAGCATTTAGAACTAGATGCGCTAAATGAGCTTTTACGAGTAAGCCCATTTTAGTTCGAGGAATACTGGTGGTGACAAATCGGCAACATCATTTCTTTCATGTCAATTTTGGAATAAATAAGTTATCAAAAATTCCTAAACTTATAAATTTCGCGTCAACAGTATTATCCAAATGCGTCTCATTTATACCAAAGACAGGATTGAAAGAATGGGAAGCCTCATAGCGAAAGAAAGAATTTATTCCGTTTCTAAGTTCAAATTTTGTATACAAAAAATAAATGAAGTGTTAAAAAGAATATAAATATCGCCTTAAGCGATAGAAAACGATTCGTACAGAGAGTTGCCTTCGGCGGACGTTTTAGAGGGACTAGCAATAGAAAATCGATAAAATGGCGATATTACCGGCAATAAATTTGTTTCCAAGGGCGACACGTTTTCTTGTTACCGGCAACAAAAATTGTTTTTTGGGTGACGTTGAGTACATCTGCTTTAATGTATATTTAACATGGCATCTCTGTTGGGCGCATTCACAATAGGATAGAAACAAGGAAGAATTTCCAGCTGGCATGTTTGGCAATTCGATTAATTTGTTTCCAAAGCATTTTAGTATTTATTTAACTTGGGGAAAATAGTTCATTGCATAATTGTTTATTACTGCGTTCTGAAGATCAAAGATTAAAATGGAGGATGGATTTGATGATATGAGTTCATTTGCATTGTAAGAGCCGCACGTAAATAAGTGAATTAGTGCAAGCAACATAGCATAGAATCTGTCAAAGATGGCCTAAACAATGGAATTTCACACAATTATGTAGACTGAACATAACATACTTTTCGTAACAGTTTTAAGTTTATAGAATTAGTGACAACATAACGAATATTATTTTGAAAATATGTACATATGTATACGAAACTCAAAACTATTTCCACAACGTTAATGTGTTGTTGATGTTCACTTCTTTGTTTCTTAGAATGACGCTCGACGAGAGGCTCATTGAACTAGTACGGAGCCACAAAATAATTTACAACAAACAATGCTTTGGACATAGAGGCCTTGAGCAAAAACAGGCAGCATGGAACGCAATCGGCGAGCAACTGGATACCACAGGTTAGTGTAATAATATTCAACTATTTATTAACCTACATGCATTTAATAATAAGAATAAGAATAGAATAAAATAAATGAATAATAAAACAAATAATGAAAGAAATAATTAAATAAATAAATAAATGATTAATAAAATAAATATGTAAATAGAATGAAAGAATAATAGAAATTCAATAATAGAATTTATTTTTGAATCATAGCGGATGAATGCGCAAAACGATGGACGAGTTTACGAGAACGTTATTCCAGAGAGCTGAGGAGACTTGAAAAACTTTCAGAAAGTAAGGAGCATGTAGTTGTAGACTGGCCCTATTTTAACTCGCTTTCTTTTCTCAGAGAATTTGTCAAGCCAAGAGCGTACGCATGAATTAATATTTTATTGATTAAAGATTAGTGTATTAATGTCCATAAATACATTTGAATTTTTAGTCCTCGAAGTACTGGCAATGAGACGCTGGGTTGGAACTCTCCTGCACCACCGAAAAAGTTTAAAATGTTTCGTGCTGAAAGTAATGAATTTTCCGACACAAGCGACTCTACTACACCACCAACAAAGTACAAAAGCTTTAGTGCTGAAAGTAATGAATTTCCCGACACAAGCGACTCTCCTGCAACACAAAAAAATTTCAAAATCTTAAGTGGTGAAAGTAATGAATTTTCCGATGCAAGCAATCCGCTAGAAGAAATCTGCATAGAAAAAGTTGAGATGCCAATAGAAATTCAAAATGTCCAATCACCTGCTGCAGGAGTTATTGTTAACACAGAAAATGCTGCAACAATAAAACGGATTAATGCTGTACAATCTTTTGGTCAAACTGTAGCAGCAATTCTATCGGAAATGAGTGAAGCAAAGCAAGCAAGAGCAATGCGTGTATTGTTTAATGCTTTAATAACTATTAAAACATCGCCCGAAGAAACTTGAGTTTAGAAAAACAGCGCTGTAGTTCTTACCTTTTTTAGCTGCGACTAGAATTGCAGAATATTTTGCTCTTATTAATATACGGTGTTTTATTAATACTAGCCCTTGAACAAGGGATTAATTGAAGCGGGCTTTTTCTTTAATTATATGCATACATACATACACATTTTAATTAACATTAATTTGGTACAAAGTATTTTTTACAATTCAATGGTCGCCGCGAACAACGCTGAAGCGATAAGACTATAATTTTGTAGAAATAAAAGAAAACTAGTAATAATCCCCGAAAATCGGGGTGCTCGGTAGTCTAAAAAATCTGCATATTTCTTTATTCCTTATTGCTTATTGCTTTTGGTAGTTAACTTTAACTTGGTATTTGCGCAAGATCGTACTCTACTCAATGCGCCATGGTTTAAGCAATCCTTTTGCTAGGGTCATTGTTCGAAAAAAAAGCCACCGATCCGGTTCTATCGTAGCAGATCGAAACCCATGGCATAACGACATAACCTAGGAAAGTTGCCCAAGCAGCTAAACTGTGTTTTGTGTCGTGAGGTTATAATATGGCAATGTATAGGATGCAAAAAAAATGTTATGCCTTGTCAAATAATGTTTTAAAAATTAGTACGCATAAGTGCCCGCTGTACTAAAAAAAGCACACTCCCAAAAGTTAACTTTGAAGCTTTTTTCGTTAATTTTAATTCCTAAGTTTGTTTAATATGGCTTTTATGATCACATAAATAAAATTAGATGTAATAAAATTTCA